ATAACTATTTTAGAGATGACCTGATTTATAAATAATTGAAGTTGTTTAGTTTATTATTTATATATAATAAGTCTATGGTAAAAGACTATTTATAAGTCAGAACGTACCTAAAATAATTATTTACATATCAACGGACAAGTTCTTGTGTCTTATTTATAAACAAATTTTGTGGCATTTCCAATTATTTATAAATAAGGGGAAAATGGCATAAATTCGGTCTAAATAATAAATTTACAAACGGCGCCCCATAGGTTTAAACGTCGCATTTTACATGCGCCGAATCAAATACTAATTTTAGTCGACTCGAATGAATAAGTTCGGCTAATTAAATTTAAACGTCGGATTTCTTTTGCCAAATAAACTTGCTGAGCGCGAGCGACGTGTTCATTCCCAGCTGACACCGCTCCAAGTTTCCCACCTGAATGCGGCTGACAATGATAAGGAGCACACTTTGCCTTAAGATCATTCATACCTTTCAAACACCGTTCGAGCAAATAGAATGGGGCGATTTATAATGCTGATGGCAGTGCATTACCTCTTAAACGCTGATTTTTGTTTCACTCTCTTGATCAAATTCAAGTTCACAGACTTCGTTCTCCATATTCTACATAACTTTGCTGAACAGAAGTAAGAACCACCGCACACACTATTATACTCAACAGTCACCATATTACTTTCCTACTCCGCATGTCATGTAGCACAAAGCGGTTTTTTTTCTTGAAGGCCGAAACTTAAGCTTAATTGGTTTTGCATAACTACATTACACGATCGGAGCGAAGCAAGAACCACACATACTGGCGTATTCAACAGCCTTCCTTCGAGATGATACATCGATCTCCTGCTGCAACTGCCGCCAAAAATTCCCTTCAGCTTGTTGCGCGCATGTCATGCAGCACAAAACTGTGGAGTTATGGGTAAAATATAATTTAACATAATTTATGAATTAGATTCGGCACATGTAAAATGCGGCGTTTAAATCAACTGTCGAACTTCAGTCGTATATTCGCCTGGATCAGTCGAATATTCGACTGAACTCGCATATAATTGAAATATGTTGCATTTAACTGATTCAAACATCGCATTTTACATGCAGTTAATTCAGCAATTAGATTCGGTGCATGTAAAATGCGATGTTTAAACCGAGTTTAAGTATGAATCCAATAATGCACTTGTTAAGAATGTCCACTTTTCAGCATAACGCGCACCACAAAAATGCCATACGGACGAAGAGTAATTAAAGTGTGGCAAGATAAAAGCTTTATAAGACGTTCTACAACCTATAGTTTACGCGGTAATTATATTGTCTCTTCCTGATCCAAAAACAACTTTCGACCTGCATTTCTTTTCATATTTAGTTGCTAAACTCTCTTCCTGACTCGCTTAGAACTTCTACTTTTGAGGACTTTAAGCGAAAGATTGTAATGTATGTATGTATGTATGTAGTCCCTCTTTCGCCTAGTCCGTCGTGCGTGACGCGAAAGAAAACCGCAAGCAAAAATGGCCGCGCGGGCACTTTTTTCCTCGCGGTTTACTTACGGCCACGTTTCCATGGACTAGACGAAATAGGGACTACTCGAAGTCTACCTATACCTACCTGTCTTGTTTGTTTCACTATTTCCGTGTGAAGTAAAGGCAGTAGATGTCTCTACACACGGCTATGAAATATTGGCAACTTTACAACCCTTTGGTCTTCTTCCAAGTTACTGGGCCGGACTACCATGGTTTCGTTGCGGAACGAGCAATAGTAAAATCGCAGGAAACGAGTCGGCGAGCGTTCTCCGACTCGCCTCTCGAAGCTACGGGTGCTTGTGACGCAACGCGTGAGAAAGTGCTCACAGGCTAAATATATTATCTAGAAATTTCTAACAGAAAGTGAATCCCGCGTAAGAGTGTGGAGAACAATTAGTTCAATTTGAGGGGTACGTGATAATGTTTTGTGGGGAAATAGGCCAGTTTGGATCAAATATTGTGCTAGCATATTTTTGCTGACTGAATATATCATGAATTTTTCAACAGATTCAATCTTCTGTACTGATTAAAACGTCCAATCTCCCATGACCAGTCCATTTCCCTAAAAAAAAAAATGACTTTGAAAACTTCTTGGCTATGGGAATTTCGTGTCACCAACAGCAAAGAGCGGTTCAACTTAGTTCTAATTGAAGACCAAACTTCGGCACATCTTCGGTACTCAACTGACTCACTTGAGCCTGCTGTGGGAGTTAGGTAGCCCAGCACCACAAAACATTCTTGCATAATAGTACCCATTCTCGACTGCAGAATTTGTCTTGAGTTTAGAAAACAAAGCAGTCTTTAGAACTTTCATGGGAGGGATATTTGAAGAGAAATTGACAACACCACAGCTGTAACTCAACCTTCAACCTCGTTCCCAGGGTCTCTCATCTTCCCGCCCTCCAGGAGCGAGAGAGGAAGAGGGAAGATAACAGACCCTGGGAACGAGTTTGCTCAACCGTTGTGATGGTGGAACCTCGTAGAATCTCGTTTTCGTGTCTGGTGAGACATGAAAACGAGACGGAGCAACGCTATACAACTGCCGCGCATGATCAGATTAGTATACTGTTTCGCTTCGCTGCGCAGCAACAAGAAGCAACTCACACCCGAGTTATAAAGCTGCTGAGTCAGCTGAAAACATTGCAGGAAGAGTAATCTACATCACAACTGATATCATGTTTCACTCAAGACAAGTAGCTATAGCCGGACTAGCTGGCAGGAATCTACCAGGAATCATCTACTACATATATTTTGTAACGTTTCGCTAATTTCGCTAATTACACTGGAGTATGTTCAGGACCATCTCAAAGGAAACCTTTCAGCAGTCAAGTTATTTCGTTCCGCGGACAAGAACCCCGCTGTTT